ACGCCCTTCTCACTCCCTCCTTTACCCCTAGCAAAGCTGGTGGCAACATCTGCCGTTTACATCACCTGCAGTGCCTGTTACAAGGTCCCATTTTTGGCAGTTCATAGCTTTACTCATACCTTTAATCCTGCAGGCTGAAACCTTTCAGGCAAGACATCTGCCTCCAGCTCAGTGCCTGCCTTGAGCTAGGTGTGCTCTCAAATTCCTAGCAAAACCAACTCAGCTGTTTCCAAGAAAATAATTAGAGAAAAAAAAAATGTCTAAGATCTGGCTTTCTTTAACCTCTTTTCCAGAATCCTCACTGTGGCCAGAGAAAGTTTGGGACATGCCAGTGATGGATCAAGCACATGTCTTACTCTCTGCCCCTCAGAAGTCCCCCCAGATTTTCTCAGCACCAGCATTTTAGGGCACATGTAACCTACATATTCACTGCTATCATTGCAATCTGCATCAGCTTCCTGACCCTGCCACGCTGGGGATGTAAAAAGTCCAACATTGACTGCTTCAGCTCGGTATCTGCCAGTGGAGCCCAGTGGCACAAGCAGAAGAGCAGCAGCCCACACACTTGCTGGGGCACCACTCCACACACCAAGCACCTACCTTGCAGGTGCTGCAGCCTCCAGGAGCTCAAGCCTCCGTGCAGTTGCAGCCACATCACCTTCCCAGGACACAAAGCACAGAGCTGGGGACTGCTGGCAGGAACCACAGCATCTGCCATATCTGCCTTCCTCTAGGGAAGAGAGGGGTTAAAGGAAGGAAATACAGGGGAAAGGGGAACAAAGAATAGGAAAGAAAGAGTGAGCAAATTAGCTTTTTCCTCTGCCTTGCTGGGGAGCTGCAGTTTTCTCTGGCTGCTGCAATTCTAGCTTATGTTATTGAAGTAAGATGTGCTGGGTCACAACAGGAAAAAGAAAATCATCAGCTAATAATCCTGCTTGTGCCTCATCTCTGTGGTGACAGCCTCAGGATCATCCCCATCTTCTAAAAGTTACTCTTTCCAGCAGAACTAGGAAAGGCAGGGGCCAGAGCAGTGGTCCCCAAAGATCCCTGTCTAGGCCAGCTGTGGCACTGGCAGGGTCACTGTACACAGAAGCTGGGTCCTGTCTAGTCCAGCTGTGCCATTCAGTGACACTTGATCTCACTGCTTGCATTCAAGGCCTGAAAGCTGACAAAACACAAGCCCTCCTACTGCTCTTAAATTCCCATTTGCTCTTTGGTGAGATTAAGATTACCTGTGTGGCTGGGCCTCCAGCGGACTGAAAAATACAATTTTTATGCATAATGCTTGTGACACACTTCAGATGAACATATGGAAAGGATGACGATTTCTTTACAGAGAGGACTACATGTGTGCAGACATCAGGCCAACCTATTTTACCTTTGCTGCCTCTCTCTGCACAAAGTGCCATTCCATGCCAATCGCCTCCTTGCAGAGACCATGTAAAGGGTTATCAATTACTGCCAGCTTCCTCATCTACCGAGATGTCTTAAACAGCTAAGGCACGAGAATACATGTTCCTTCTGTGTACTACACTCAGTATTGCCCAGCTGTTTGAGCTTGAACTAACCACTGAGAAAAGAAAAACTCCGCACCACCTGCAGAGTCATTTCTGACCAGACATTTGCCAGGCACAGCAGGTCAGGGAGCATCAGAGCCCAGGAGCGTGAGAAGATGCTGGCCCTGGCCCGAGTGTGCCGGGAGGTCGCGCAGCCGCGCGTGCTCCAGCTGTGCCCGCGCCGGCACACGGCCTGCAACGAGCATCACCCGGCCACGGCCACTGAGCCACACTGCAGGCAAATGCTCTGCTTAATTGGTCTCAGCTGGAAGCTGCCCTGTGCATGCCAGCGTGTTTAAGAAAGCAGGTCTACAGGAGAGAAGACACCAGAGTAACCAATTAAAGGAAAAAAAACCCAATTTCCCTTCCCCCTCTTTCCCAGCCCTAAGCCCTGGAAGTTCGTTTTATTTTTAAGAAGGACTGTTTCTCACTGTTAACGAAATCAACTTGAGAATAAGGTTTTGCTGTTGGTATTTCCAAGTCCAGTACTGACAGCATTTGTGGAGATAGTTACAGAGACCTGGTTAAATCACATCAAGGTTTGCACCTTTATTTCTTCTTTTTTGTTATGTGTGGTTTTGGGCTTTTTTTCTTAAAAAAGAGGAAAGAAGTGACACCAGGAAACTCTTCAACCAGTTCAAATCCAAGTTTATTAGCCTGTAAAAGTCTGTTTCCACACAGTAATCATAATAAATGAATGAATGTTTATGGAGCGTAGCATAAAAATATATGGAGTCAGCCATAGGTTGGAGTTTATGATTGCTCACAAAAATTAATCAGCAGATCACATGGCATTGCATCAGAAAGGCAAATCAGTCCTAGGAATGCAAACAATCAGGATAAAAAGGCAAAACAAGTAAGAGCAGAGTATCAGAAAGCAATAATTAATTCACAGTTCCTAATGTGGTGACAGATTTTGCTAGATCAGATTATTTACTCACTGACTCTCCAACAAAAGGTTGAAAACCAGTTGTAATAATTTTGCATTAATCTCGGTCAACATTAAAATGTAGGCATGTAAGAAGAGACTAGATATCCTCAACAGCCCAGCTCCTTCTCCTGCAGCCTGGTGGCCACCAACTCTCACAGCTATAAATCAAAAGCCAATGTGAGACAAGTGGGTTGAGATGTTCTAGTCCCTGTCTGGACATGTAAAAACCTTCTCTCATCTTAAAAACCTTCAGCATGCTGCAGGCTGCTCAGTTCTGGGGAAGTTCACCTCTCTGCTGGGCATAGCAAGCCTGACCCCCTGCATGGGAAGGGTGTTGGACCCCTGCCATAAACCTGTGTGTGTCACACGTACCAGGGAGGGGCGGTGGGAACATCCCCCATGGCTCCTGTCTGCTTTAGTGCTGATGTTCTCTAGGACTGTGACCAATTGCCAAGCTGAGCTATGGGCTCTGCTCACCAGCTACATCCAATGCAGAGAAACCCCTGTTAGGAGATTTGAGAAAGCACCAGGAGTTTCTGACCTAGACTAACTCTTCTTTCTTTTCCCAAAGGAAAATATCTAGCCAAAAAAGAGATGTATTTCTTCTAATGCTTTGGCCTTTCCTGAAGAAGTGCAGAGGGTTAGTCTTATTAATTCCATAAAGAGAGCAGACTTAAAAGAGCAAGAGAAGAAAGGTAGTTTCTTCTCAAATGTAGGATGCTTATGCATGTCATAAACCAAGCTGGGGAGAATGGCACCGAATAATTAATCCAGGCTCTGGCTGACATCGTGACACCTGCAGATCCTTCTACCAGAATTCTGAGTTATTTTCTATCAGAGATCCTTGACTCTGCAAGTCAAGGCCCTATATAGGCCAATCAACCCACTGCCACAGCATCTTCTGTTATAGGGAAGTCATATTACATGAAGAAGCCCCTTCAGAGTTGGTTGGGAAATTAACCCATTAAGGCTGACTTCTAAAACTTGTTTTTCAGGAATGGGTGGTAGCATGACAAATTCTTCCTGATTATTACATTACTAATAATGTGACAATCCTTTAATATCATCTGAGAACTTAGAAGAGCTGAGAAAATCTTCCAGAACATCACAGTTTCTTTAGGCAATCTAGATCTTTGTCTTGCAAGAATAACATTTTGCTACCTGCATTTCCTTTATTCTGCCTGCTTTGGGCAAAATGGCTCTGCTGAAGCACCCAGCGTCCCAGATGAGTGTATCCACCCTAAAAACCAAACAGCAAACCAAGACAAACCTACAGGGGGAGCAGATCCTGCAGCACTTTGTCTTTTTTTTCCTCAGATAGACACAGTGGTTTCAAAGACCATTGTATGTTCTGCAATTATTACTGAGAAGAATAATTTCTTTCCTTTATAGATTTTGGGGCCATCTATCCATGCTCAGTGCACACTGGTAACTGAGTAGATCCTTACAGTGAAGTAAGATCAAACTTATAACCAAGCCTCCTATACAATATCCTCAATTTCCACAAGCTATCTGGTAAACCCCATGGGAACATGGGGAAGACTGGAGCCTCCCAGAAGGCACACTGCCCTGTATCACTAGACTGTTCATAATTTCAGACTTGTTCCTTGGAAATATATAAGAGAGCATTGACATGGCTAGTAGCAAAACCAAATTGAGCCCAACACAGCCTAGAAAAACTGAGTTTCCACACAAAAGGGTATTTTCTTTTCTTTTCTTTAATAGGCTCAGTAATAAGTTTGTCAGCTTTGGCTTTGAAGAATTACCTGCTTCTTGACTGGGTTTTTACTTTTAGTTGCTTAGTTTTGTTGTTGTTTTGTTGTTTTGGGGTATTTTGGTTTTTTAATTAAAAAATAAAAGCTATAAAAAACTAGAGGTAGTTTTAAACTGCAAGGTTCATATCTGGGGCGAGTATTTCTTCAGAGCTGAGGGACGTTTTTCATTCAGACCAGTATAAAACAATACTTGAGGGGAAAAAATGTTGAAAGAGAAAGCATTAAAAGAATAGGAACTCAGAGACCTCTTCCTGCTTCCAAATCGACCGTCTCATGAAATGAGTGTATTTCCTCCCTGTGAATTCTATATTTAATCCAGAGAGATCACTGAGTATGCCTGAGCAACCTGGCAGCCCTTTTCCTCCTCTTCAAACGGACCTCAAGATTCACTCTTCTCTAATGAGCGGTCTGCGTCTCCCAAGAACATCTGTCCTTATGGATTTCGATGAGAGCAGACAGGATCAGTGGAAAATCCACTTCTGTTCCTTTTTCTTTTGTTGCTTTCTTGAAAAAACAAAAGCATACACCAAGGCTCCCCCTGGAAAATCAGCTGGCATTGAAAGCATCTCACAGACTAAAGGACCTACCTCGTTTTTCAAACTCGTTCAAAATTCTGTTTTGGCACCTAAGAGCTAACTTTCTGTTGATTAAAGGAATATTCGCAGAAAAATGACGTTTCAAATTTCACCAAAACCAGATGATGTGCCTGTCACAAACCTTCCCACCTATCTGAAGTAGTATGAGGAAACAAAATGTCAAGAGTCAAACATTTCCTTAGCTATGTATTTGAGTTTTGAGACAGGTAGAGAGCTGAACTTTGAACTGAGAAGCAGTAAAACAGAAAGGAAGATAATGTTGTCATTCTCTCACAAACCATATTTGTAATTCCAAGTACTTCAACAGCAATGGGCTGATCTACCCTCAGGACTACTGTTTGTTGCAAGAGCTACAGATGAGATTTCACCTTTGCATGCTTCTCCATACAAAACTAACTGCTAATTTATCACACCACCCTCATTAGTCCACTCTTTTTATACAACACAGGTCTGCACTAATGGGTTTAAGGCTTTCTGTAATCAGCTTTGCTCTTACTTCACTAACCTTTCAAAGCCTCAAAATCTCAAAGTAACATTCCTAGTTGAAGAAAAGGCAGTATTTTTTTCCTGCTATTTTAAAAAATCCAGAGTACGATGTTACCTTCAGTTATACAACTTATGGGGTTCCCATCAATTGCCAATTGAGAAGGAATAAGCTCTGTGGCTATTGTACCATCACTTCATAAGCATTCATTCCCACACGCAAGACTGAGGTCAGCATTTGGACCTTCTCGCTCATTTTGAGGGTTCTTTTGTAAAAGAGGTTTTCTTTGTTTAAGATCCCACAAACAGGACCTGTTTATGGAAAAAGAGAGATATTTTGAATACTAAAGTCCTTTATTCAACAACACAGAAATATCACAAAAAACAACTTTACTGGGCAAATTGAATGTTTTTATACAGTTTTGTACATGCCCCATAAGTGATTATTTTTTCATAAATACACTGTTTTCCAAAACTGTTTTTTTCCATAATTGCACAAGCATACATACACCTTACACAAATATCTATTAGAAAATTTAATAGATAACTGCACAGTTCAGAAATAGGAGAACACTGTGAAAGGAGTACATTTCTGTGGCCCATGTTTCTGAAAATACCCTCCTAGTTCCCTGCAATTGTGAAAATGGAGTACTTTCTAACATAGGAGCTGTCTTTTGTTCACTAAGAATACAGTAGAGCTCAGCGTGAAACTGCCAAATTTAATAAAAACAAAATCTGAAACATTTAGCTGTTACATGAGAACCCACTGTTTGATATCACTATGCATCTAACCATGATCAAAGACCCACTACTGCTTTTTGCTGAATGCATTCGACCCTGAATGGTATGTTCATTTAACTACTTTCTTTCTTCATTATTTGATTACAGATATAGCCCGTTTAAAGACTTTACATTCTTCAACATTAATTGTAGGACTTACATACCAGGGGGTCTGTACAAAAGGGAGTATTTTCCCTCATAGGGAGGGTCTGTTATTAATTGACAGAATGGGTACGTGTGCCTCCCTTTCAAGCTTACCATTTTTCATAAGTTTATCTGGGGTATGCCAAAAATGCTTCCACTAGGCTTAGCACTCACTCACACCTAGAAGACAGAGTTCTGCTATTTTTTTTTGCCCACACCCTTTTTTTTTTTTTACTTTTCACTGTGAGAATGAAGAACGGAGAAGAATACAAATTTTCACACTGGAAAACAGTATTGGACCTTGTGAAAAGCACAAATTTGGTAATTAGAACTTGACAATAATCCGACTGACAAATATGTATATAAATGGGGAGGGGTGGGGAGAGACAGGCCAGAAAATGGATTTCCTTCTTCAAACATCACTAATTAAAATGCTCTATGCACACTACATCATATTAAATACTGTTTCAGCAGAATCTAAAAACCTGATGGTGCAAAGCAACAACCTCTGAAATGAAAACCATAAGGGTAAATCAAAGAAAAATTACCTCTGGTTCATTTTCAATAATTAACAGGTATGCTTGTCTGTGTGTTTAACAATTTTGGATTGACATGTAAAACACCAAAATTACAATTTACAGATACAGCAGTTCTTTAAAACAAAACAACAAAACAAAAAAAAAGGAACCACAACAAGACATGCAACATTAGGGTATTAGACAGTAAGTACATTGCTATGAGTATCTTTGTACACCTAATGTATCCTGAACTTAACTTTGCCTCTGCTTCTGTAAGAACAATGAGAGTTTTCCAAAGAGCAAGGCAAGCTTACCAGCCAGATGTGCAAATAAGGCTTCAGTTTGTAAGTCAATCAGCACTTTGGTAGAGAAGACCTTGCAGAGCTCATATTGGTCTAACGATCAGTAACAGAGGCCCCTAACCAAAAAGTCTCCAACACAAAAAAATCCAAACACAGCTGCCCTACAAACAGACACAAAGCTCATTGAATGGGCATTGGATGAGTATAAACTGAGGATCTCACAAACTGTAAGAGGGACACCATGATAGAAGCATTTTAAGCGTGACATTCCACCTCCGAAGCCATGTATGTGACGTCGTACGACGCAAGGACACAGACACATGCACTGACCCTAAGCTGAGGATGCAGGTGTAAGCCCAGCCCAACGGTGCCCTCCAGTTACCCTGGGTCACCCACGCTCTGCCCGGTCCTGCTGATGCACACATGCGACTTCAGGAGGTTTCTCTGCCTCCATCCCCTGGTCTTCACTTTCTGGGCTGTTCCTGACACCTACCAGCCCTCACTTGCCAAAGCTGGCGTCTTCCCCACCTGCACAGTCCCATTGGAGCATTCCCAACCCATCCCTCGTGCTTCATCAAGGAAGTGTGACCAGGGGCCAAAGGCTGAAGTACTTAGCAAAACCCCGAAGAAAGTGCTGAAACAGTAGGAGATTTACATGTGCTGTGCAACATTAATTGGTTATTTCCATGCCCAGCACCTTGTTTGTGAAACTACTGGTAGGCCTATCTTGTATAAAATTATAAATCTATCAGATACATGGCACAACAGCATTCACTTACTTTGGTGGCGTGGCCTTCTCACTCAAGAGTAGTATGACAAAGCCAAGCGATAAAAAGTGATGATCGACTGATAGTAAGTACCCCTAAGTAAAGAATTCTCCTTATTTTTTATGGCATGTCAGCTATATCCCTCTGTGTGCAGCCTTTCCATGGAGTAGACATTTCTTCCATACAGCTAGAACAGGAAGAAGAATGGCAAAGCATTTTTTTAAAGGCTTAAGGGACCAGTCATTCAGCAAAGCCGAGATCAGTGGACCAAGAAACATGTGGGGAGAAGTGGTCTTTTTTTTAAAGCACAAAAATAAAAAAAAAAAAATCTTTTTTATACCGCAAAAATATCCAGGCTCTCAAATGAGCACAAGTGCAAGTGAGACCTAAACCAGTCCAACTGTCAAAACTCACTTAGCTGTGAAGAGCTCCACCAGAACCAAAAATATGGCAATCCACTTTATAAAATATTTACTCCATTGACTGAAAATGTTACATAAGATCTTGTAGGTGAAGAGTAATTAAACAGAGTCATCATATTTCCTAAGGTCCCATACTCTGGTTTGTATCCTAGAACAACCTTTATTTAAATGACTAGTTTTGCACATTTGCCTACGCTGGGCACAGTGAAAAATGAATCAGACACCAGACAGCATTTTTGGAGAGATACCCCTCTGTAAAGTTCCTTTGGAAGCAATGCAAGTGCACAAACCACTATTCTAATATAGTGCTTGAAAGATTAATTTTAAGTGTTACGTCTTCCCCTCTCACAACACCACAACAGACGGTAATTGCTAGATGCATCACAATCTTTTTATCTTGGAAAACTTGGCATCAAGTCTCTATGGAAGGATGCATGGTAAAACAGTGCTGCTGTTGCTGCTGCTGCTGCTAAACAACTAGCAAAATAATAGTTAAAGCTAGAATTTATTGCTCCGGATTCAATTTGCAGAACCACACTGTTGTGTACAAACCGTTTATCTCCACTGATGCTCAGACATGATTGTCTCCTTGTGTCTAAACACACAAAATACAAGCGGCTATCTGTACAGTTTACAGTACTGAAACACATATATTTGAAAATGAAGTATAGATATGTTACTTTTCAAAGATACATGACTTTATAGCAGGGGTTTACCCAAACTTTTTTTTTTTTACAGCCACTTTAAAAATAGACAACAACTTCACTAGTATAGCTAAGTTACATCAAAGAAAGAATCGGTGTACTGAATGTGAAGAAGCTGGCCAATTCCCCAGGCTCACAGGTTTTTGTATTTTGCTTTTGAGGAAACCCCTATACATAAATGAAAATAGTATCTGAGTATATTCTTCAATGGTGGACTAAGCAGTTTCTTAAAACAAGACTTTAGCTTTCCATTCACTTCGGACTGCCTCGAAAATAAGATACACTACTGCTTAAAAGAACCATCGGAATGCTTCAGCGCTGGGAACAGGTGTTCTCTAAAAAAAAAGCAAGAAAACAAGTTAAGCTTTCTTTTGTGGCATTGGCATACTCGAGTTCTAGTTGTTCTTTTCCTTTACATTTTAGGCATACTTTCAGTTATCTAGGAACAACACGATGCTTCCCATTGCTTGACAATTAATAGAAACATCCTTCTCCAAACACACACCATTTTAGGATCACACACAATACATCATACTCAGTATGTAACACACCTAACACGCTGACTTCTCCTTAGCTTGTTAACAAGGTAGTCATGAAAATGTAAACATTTCTAGAAAAAATATCTGGAAAACAGACAATGCTTGTAGAATGACCACAGGGTTGTACAATGGTTCCTGCCTTGAGCTGGCATACTGGGCACGCAGTTATGGCTCGGTGGGTTTTGGGTTAAACAGACGCTTTGGCAAGACTATGCTCGAGACAGGGGAGTAGCAAAGGCCCTGCTCTGTCACTCAGAAAGTGTGCTGTGTCTGCAGACACCTCAGGAGGAGAAGTTGGCATTTTGAAACCTCACCTTGTCCCACATTTATGTGGCAATGCAGAAAGAACTGAAAACACATCCATGACTTCATTCCAGTGAGGGAATCATTGTGCTGATTTAGGGGTGCTGCCCAGACCGCCCTTGTCCTTTCTTTCACACATGTGCAGAACCTTGGCTTACACAGAAACAGTCCTGTATAAAGAGAGCTACTGCCGCCCTCCTTCCCCCACCTGCTGCACCCTGAAAATGATACCCACTTGCACCCAGGTGCCTCCATACACATTTGAGTAGCAGCAAATTCCCTTCACAGCTTTGAAGTACAACCTACACGAGAGGCTGAAGGGACTGAGCCTGCAAGGGCTGTGTCACTTTTGTGAGGAACTTCTCATCCTCAATTTCCTTCAGTCAAAAGATGATGAAAACACCCTTGAACCCATGCATCTGGACCCACATCTCTTTCCTCCAGAATTAATAACTGCCCTGTACAGGGAGGGGAGAGTGACACTAACCCTAACATGACACTCTATCAGTCTGTCCCAGCTTACAAGTATTTGTTTCATTAAGAACTACCCACAAAACAGTAGTGTTACATCTGAAAAAAAAATCTCCTAAAAGCAAAGCTCTTGAAATTTCCAAATGAATATTTGTAACAAAGAAGTTCTCATGGATGTTGCTGGTGCACATTTAAGTACATGTCTCTTTTTGAAAGAGTTCTTTTTTTTGTTTCAGGGAAGACCTTTTTAATGTTTTCCTAGTTTTTCCATAAAAATCCAACAGACCATGGATCCTGCAGTATACATGTGCATTGTACTTAGTGTCAAAATATTACTTTCTGAATTCCAGGGAACTGCTCATTAGTATGGCATGTATTTTTTGTTGAATAATTAGCCAAGTTTAAGATAAACAGGCTCAAGCAGTACACAGCTTCTCTTTTTTTAAAAGCCGTATGAAAGGGGAGCTGTCATTGTTATGTTTATTGCTTCAGCACTTGGAAATACCAGAATACCAAAATAATTCTGCTGTATTATCAGAACTCTGACCTGTTGTCAATTCAATATCCACTCCCCCTCCACAAATGTTACACTTCAATAAATCATCTGAAAATTAACTTCCAAGGACAATGAGCTGATGTGTGGAATACAACCACCTTGACTAATGTGAGTTCTCTTTGTGTTGATGGTGCAAAAGTAGGAATTGCTCATATCCATCTTTACCAGTCCCTGCTCTGCCCGTTTATGTGAGGTGAGCATGAGCACAAGTAGTGACAGAGCACGGCAGCCCTCGCACCCAGGCATGCTGAGGAGAGCTAATGCAATTTCTAGACCATCCACAGCAGTCTGTGTGGGCTGTAAGATGGCTGCTGAGAGCGAGGTTTACAGATTTATAATTTATAAAGAGCTTGGCTGCAGAAGAGGCTGGAGTTCGGAATGGCAGGAAACAATCGTATGACTAAATTGACCTCAAAAGAACAGTCAAACATGCAAACATATTAAACTCAATACATTGTCTTCACTTGAAAACTAAATGTAATATTCTGCTGTGGGTCCATCTGCCTGAACACAAAACCACAGCTAGACAGAGAGATTTAAAGACATAGTGACTGAGACGGCTTTTATTTATTTTCTAGCCACATCAGGTTGAGTTACTGTCAGACGTTGTCATATCAGCTGGAAATAAAGGTGTAATGTCTGATTAAAAGGTCATTCAGACCTTTAAATGCACAGAACAGTATTTTTGAAGGGCAAGGCTGTGGTTTAATATGTGTGGTTTTGAAAAACTGCAAGATAAGGAATTTTTGCATCTGTGTACCAAGTTCTAATTAAAGATATACACTTACAATTAAATATCCATTGTGCTAACTACCAATTTGGGAATGAATTACTAATCCACCCTTAAAAAAAAAAAAAAGAAATCTTTTAAAATTGAACAGCTACATCAAGTTAAATCCTAACCAGTACATGCAATGAAATCCATACATTTCACTACTCCAAGGGTCAAGGTTATTTGCAGACAAAGAAAGGCCCTTCAGCCCATTTAGAGGTTCAGCACACCAACACAAAAGTTTAAGTGTAACGACCATCTACTGCTTGGCTGTATAAACCCAGCACTCCCAGCTGGGGAATCAAACTCTCAGTGAGATTACAGTGCATTTCTGGATCTCTGTGCTGCCGGTGGGGAATGGTTATCCTGAGTGACAGGAAAGACAGATCCCCCTGGAAGCCTGGGGAGGGGTGGTGAGGAGCAGAACCAGAGTTGATCAGCACAGTTTTGCTGTAGAAGCCTTCACTGCTCGTGCCGGTGCAAATGCTGACAAACAGCAGGCTTGCTCTCAGGAGGATGCTCAGAAACCTGCAGCCCTGGCTTCTCCTTGCAGGTAATGCCTTAAAGCATGGCACTGGAGAGGATTTATCCCTACACAAACCCAGGATGAAATGTCCTCCATACTTTCAACCTTTCCATTCTGCTCCCTATGTGCCAGCTTTCACTGCAGAAGTAGTAGCTCGAATATTTGAAATCAGAAGATCTAATTATTGCCTAGAAAAATGAGTTTCATATACGGAACCAAGCATGCCACATTTTTGGAGAAAAGAGGTAAAAAACAGGCAACGGAAACCAAGAGAAAATCTCCTCAGTTAAGTAGAAAAATGATACCTATGTATCTGTCTGGGTGCTCCACAGGGAAATGTAAAAGCAGACCCTGGCTGTACACAACACATAAAAAACGGCATGCTGGCAGGGGCTGTAAATTCCTCACCAAAGTCTGTTTCAACACTTGCATTTTCACAGCAAAGCAATCAGTAAAGAATGATGCCTCCCACTGCCCTCTGGGGTGACCGACTGAAGGAGGCATGGGATGCCAGACAGCGGGATTTGCTCATCCAAGGCCCACCTGCTTGCCCAGCCCAGCCCTTGGTGAGCTCAAGCCTACCCCGCCCGCCAGAGAATCCTCTCTCCTCAGCTCTCTGCTCACACTCACCTGAAAAGTGTGATACAGATACAAGGAATCAGGAAAGTTGGCTGCACCTGCTTGGAATGCTGCTGCTGCTAGGGTGCAGGAAAAATTCAGAGCTATCCAACCAAGACTCACTGTAAGTCACCTTTATTACTATTTTCTACAAGGCTAGGGAATCATTTGAGGTGAACTGCATTCAGAAATAAAATGGAATAATAAAATATATCAGAGCACTACATGATTATGACCTAATACTTTACCAATGTTAGAAGATATTGCATTATGTAAGAATCCTTTGATGTCTGATCCATGAGCAAAAATCCTGCTCTCATTCAAGTAAACTCTTATGTTGGCTACAGCAAACTATTAGCCAGATGTGGCACTCCTCACTCCTCTTGAGGAGCCTTGGGAGCAATCCAGCTCAACAGAGGGTCTTTGGGAAGTCTACAGCAACTGAGCTATGTCCAACACAATCTTGGCTACCTGGTGGTCTTTACAGAGACCCATCCAACCACAGAAATACACAGCATGTTAATGAATCAGAAATTCACATGGCAAATGACATTAAACTGGTAGATTTCCCAAAGCAGCGGGACTAGTGCTAGCAACACAGGGAAAAGTGAGCTTACCAAGATCTGCAGATAACACAACATAAGCTTCTCAAGTTGGAGAGCAATCCCTCCTTGAAATGCCTTGCACAAGAGGAGCAGTTTGGCCTGGTAAGTTATATACACCTATATACATGTATATGTGTGTGTCGGTGTATATCTCAATATATCTATATATATTGAGAAAGAGATATATGGTCAGATATAGAGAAATCTGGTGCTCTATGGTGGCCAAAACAATTCAGCTAAAAAGTCCTGGCCGCTGCATGAAATACAATTTGAATCAATCAGCAGCCTGGCCCAGCAAACACTGACCACCACTGGCCATAAACCAGTGCCTGTATGCTTTCCTTACACTGTGTGAATGCAGGCTATGCACCTCATCAGTCTCACAGAGCCCACATGACTGCCAGCAGGAAAGCAAACTGGCCTTTACTACATGTCACACCTTGTATTTCTAGTGCCACAAGCTAATTCAGGTGTCCGATGGTCACCCTGGAAATGACATCAGCATTGCTCATACATAAACAATACAGACTCTGGTGTAAATTCAAAACTTGCTTTCCATCCCCAATTTCCCTCTCTGGAAAGACCCTTCCCCACACAAGAGCTGGGCTCAGGGCACTCAGGGCAGTCCTGAGACTGTACAGGCACAGTCTCATTGCTGGAATGACAGTCACAGTCACAGTCTTTCACTGACACAGACAATCACAGTCTTACACTGTGATGGGCTAAAGCCTAGCAGAGGGATGTGGTCTCCTGACCTGCAGAGCACCCTAAGATCATAGAATTATTTGGGTCAGAAGAGCCCTTATAGATCACCTCCAACTCACCTGCCATGGGCAGGGACACCACTCACTGCACCAGGTTTCTCAGATCCCCATCCAACTCAGCTTTGAACACTGCAGGGATGAGGCACCCACAGCTTCCCTGGACAGCCTGTTCCACTGCCTC